AAAAAAAAAACAGATTAGAGGAGCACAACAGAAAAACAAGTGTGAACAATACAGTTCCATATCTGAGACAATTAATAATGCTAGGACTAATTAGGTTTGAGCTGCAGAAAACCAGACAAGCATCCAGGGCAGCAAAACATTGCCTCAATTTTTAAAGGTCAGGAGTTGTAGCTCTAAAGCAGGGCCTGGTAAGAAGGTCCTTTTATGACTTGTGGACTTCAACTCCCAGAATTCCTGAGCCACCCTGTCCTAAAGGCTACACAAGCAAATAGGTTAATGAGCAAAGTAGTCCTGATCCAAATACAAGCACTCTGTTAATTCTAGCTTTTGTTATTTTATAACAGCATATCGTAGCCTTGGACTATTGTTTTAGTATTGTTCTTACAAGAGGAATTCTTTCTGCTTCTGTCATGCTTTCCTTACAGCACCTTGTTTAACCCAAAAATGTCAGTGGTCTGGATGGATTTCCGTGAGTGTCCCAGAAATTGGTATTGATAAAGGTGACAATGAAACTTATGAAAACATCAAACTGCACAACATAAAGATCTGCGAGAAGCCAGAAAACATATCATGCCGAGCAAGGAAGTTTCCTGACTGGTCTTTTGAGGATTTGCAACAAAAAGTGACATGTGATGTTTCCACTGGGCTTATTTGCAAAAACAAAGATCAGATTCCTGGACCTGTAATGCCTGCACCAGTCTGTCTCGACTATGAAATCAACGTCTGCTGTCCGGTGGAGTGTTCTACTACCACTCCAATGCCTACTTCTACCACCACTTCCACTACTGAAAGCACTACTACCACCACTCCACCTACTCCCACACCGCCTACTTCTACCATCCCCTCTACTACCGAAAGCAGGACTACCACAATTACTACCACTCCACCTACTCCAACTCCCACACCTACTTCTACCACCCCCTCCACTACCGAAAGCATGACTACCACAATTACCACCACTCCATCTTCTCCAACTCCCACTCCTACCATTACTTCCACTACTGAAAGCACTACTACAAGAATTACTACCACTCCATCTACTCCCACTACAACACCTACTTCTACCACCCCCTCTACTACTGAAAGCACGACTACCACAATTTCCACCACTCCATCTACTCCAACTCCCACTCCTATTTCTACCACCCCCTCTACTACCGAAAGCACAACTACTGCAATTACTACCACTCCACCTACTCCCACTCCCACACCTACTTCGAGCACCCCCTCTACTACCGAAAGCA